GAAAGAGGTCTTTTGCAGCAGATTTGCCCAATGCAGTACATCACCTGATGTCTTGACTGCTGCTTCCATTGGTGTTGACTGTACAACCAAGTGATATGAAGTCTTTGTCGACTTCAATCTTTTCTCCATATATTGTGATGGCTGCTTATTGGTCCAGTTGTGAAGATTTTTGTTTTCTTTATATTGAAGTGTAATACATACTGCAGATTGTAGTCGTCAATCTTCATCAGTAAGTGCTTCAAGTCATCCTCACTTTCAGCAAAGCTGTGTCATCTGCATATCAAAGCTGTGTTAATGAGTCTTCCTCCAATCCTGAGGCCACTCTCTTCTTCATATAGTCCAGCTTCTCAGACTATTTCCTCACGATACAGACTGAATAAGTATGGAGAAAGGATACAACCCTTCCTTCCTGATTTTAAACCATGCAGTATCCCTTTGTTCTGTTCAAATGACAGCCTCCTGGTCTAAGTACAGGTTCCCCATGAGAACAATTAAGTTTTCTGGAATTCCCATTCTTCTCAATGTTATCCATAATTGGTTACGATCCACACAATTGAATGCTTTACTATGGTCAATAAAACACAAGTAAATGTCTTTCTGGTATTCAAATAAATGTTAAAATATACCAAATTCTTTTTTTTTTTTTTTTTTTTGCAATTTCACTGAGTTATGAGATTTCACCTTTAGTCTATTAAGATATAAATGATATTGAAAGATTGTTCTGCTGGAGCCATTTTTGCCATCCTGAATTAATTCATAATTGACCTAAAGGGGGTCACTATGAATCAGAATTGACTTGATGGCAGTAAGTTTGATTTTTGGTTTTTTATTTCTTGATTAGATCTGCCAGAGGTTTGTCAAGCTTATAAACTTTTTTAAAGGTTCAACTTAGGTCCTATAATCTTAATCTTTAACTGTATCTCATTCTCTTCCTTCTTAGCTCTTTTGGTTTACTCTGCCACTTCATTACCAACTCCAAGTCTTCTTGGCATAGACGAGTAAGCACTTTCTGTGCTGCATCCACTTGTTTTTCGCCAATTTCTTTAATGCAACTTGGTCTTCTTTCTTCAATACCATTGGTTTTGGTCATATTCTACTTCCTGAAATAGCTGAACATCAACCAATTCTTTTTGTTACAGTGACTCTGTGTGTTCCTTCCCTTCTCTTTTGTTGCTTCCTGCATCATTCAATATTTTGCCATTAGAATCCTTCAATATTGGAACCCAAAGCGTAAATGTCTTCTTCAATTCTCTCAGCTTAAGAAATGCTGAATGTGTTCTTCCCTTTTGGCTTTCTAACTCCAGGTCTTTGCACATTTCATTATAATACGTTACTTTGTCTTCTCGAGCCACCTTTTGAAATCTTGTGTTCTACTCTTTTATTTCATCATTTCTTCCATTCACTTTAGCTACTTTCCATTCTAGAGCAAGTTTCAGAGTCTCTTCTGACATCCATTTTGGTCTCTTTTTTCTTTCCTGTCTTTTTAATGACCTTTTTCTTTCTTCATGTATGATGTTCTTGATGACATCCCACAATTCATCTGGTCTTCAGTCATTGGTGTTCATTGCATCAGATTTTCAAATGGTCTCTTAAACTCAGGTGGTATATAATCAAGGTCATAGTTTGGCTCTCATGGACTTGTTTTAATTGTCTTCAGCTTCAACTTGAACTTGCATATGAACAATGACAATCTGTTCCACAGTCAGCTCCTGGCCTTATTTTTTCTGATGATGCTAAGCTTCTCCATCTCCTCTTTCCACAGATGTAGTCAATTTGATTCCTACGTACTCCATCTGGTAAGGTCCCCATGTACAGCCTCCATTTATGTTGTTGAAAATGAGTATTTGCAATGAATAAGCCATTGGTTTTGCAAAATTCTATCAAGTGATCTCCAGCATCATTTCTATCACCAAGGCCATATTTTCCAACTACCAATGCTGGTTCTTTGTTTACAACTTTCATATTTCAATCACCAACAATAATCAATACATCTTGATTGCATATATGGTCAATTTGAAACTGCAGAAATTGGTAAAAATCTTCAATTTCTTCCTCTTTGCCTTTAGTGGTTGGTGTGTAAATTTGAATAATAGTAGTATTGACTTGTCTTCCTTGTAGGTGTATGGTTTTATCCTATCACTGACAGCATTGTACTTCAGGACACATCTTGAAATGTTCTTTTTGATGATGAATGTGATGCCATCCTCTTCAATTTGTCATTCCTGGCATAGTTGATCATATGATTGTCCAGTTAACAATTGCCAATACCAATCCATTTCAGCTCATTGATGCCTAGGATATCAATCTTTATGCATTATTTCATTTTTGACAACTTCCAATTTCCCGAGGTTTATGCTTCATATATTCCATGTTCTGATTATTAATGAATTAGATATTACCTATAGGCAAAAGATATACTAAGGTAAAATGAACAGAAATTAGTGGTGATGTCTATCATGAGACCAGAAGAATTAGATGGTGCCCATCTACACTACTAACCTGTTCTGACCAGGGACACAATAGATGGTCCCAAATACAATGGAAGATAAATGTAGAACAAAATTCAAATTCTTTAAAAAAAAAAAAAAGTCAGACTTACTTGACGGTAGAGACTAGAAGAACTCTTGAGACTAATGCCCTGAGATACCCTTTAAACTTTAAACCATTCTTGGAGGATACCTTTCAACTAAATAACTTACTGACTCATAAAATAAACAATATTACCTATGAGTATTATGCTCCTTTTAAAAAAAATCATCTATATGATACCAAACAGTCAGTATTTATCCTAAAGCAAAGATGAGAAGGTAAAGGGGTGCAGGGAAGTTAGATTAATGGAAATGGAACAACCAGAATGGAAATAATGAGAATGTTGACACATTGTGGAAAATGTAGCCAATGTCACTGAACAACAAGTTTACAAATTATTAAATGGGAACATAATTTGCTGTGTAAACGTTCAACAAAAACACAATAAAATATTATCTAAAAAAAATTAATGATGACTGCATGTCAAGTGTATAAGAAAAGGAAGAGCAAGTGCACTTGCATCAAGAGTAAGTATTCTCATAAGTATTCTCATAAGTATTCTCTGAGCTATATATTTTGGATTTAATATATTTATTTAAATATATAACTGTGCAGGTATTTTCTAAAATACTGAGGTAAAAGTGGAAATCTTTCAGAGTCTCTTCTGACATCCATTTTGGTATCACTATGGAAGTAGATTGCCCAACCTTCCTTTCAAGAAGTGGCTGGTGGATTTGAACCGCCAGCCTTCTGGTTAGCAGTCAAGTGCCTTAGCCACTATGCTACCAGAGCTCCTACTATAGACCTAGGTTTTATAAATTATGTTCAACGGAAAAGAATTCTGTTGTGTGTTATCATAGATGTTACACCATAAAAGGATTCCTCAAGCAATGTATGGAGACATCCATGCCCTTTCACCATATCATATTCTGTAGATTATGCCTCATAAATATTTTTTGCATTCATCCATTTCTCTCTATGCCTTATATTTTATCCAAAATAATAGAAGGAGCTTTAATTGCACAGTGCTTAAGGCATTTGGCTGCTAACCAAAAGGTCAGTGATTCAAACCCACCAATTATCAGATATTTTAAATAATATTGATGATAACATGAATACTAAGTATTCAAGTACGTAGTAAGTCAAAATGACTAAAGACAGGTTCATTTCACAGTATATCACATTTCTTGTCATTTCAGTTTTGGTCTGTTTTAAACTTCCCCATTTTCCTGTGCAACTCAAATACAACCATGATACCTTCCTACTCTGAGACACCACTGAAACCAACAGTCTCCCCAGCAAAGAATGATCTGAGAATAAAGGAAATCATGAAGAAACTAGACCAGCAGTTCCCACCCAGACCTTTCCCCCATGTGAACACCACCACCAGTGCAGCACACAGTAAAGTCACCATGCTCAACCCTCAAGACACCTACTGCAAGGGGGAGCAGCTAGAACTCCTGCTGGAGGCAAGAGACCACCTGGGACGCAGGAAGAAGTATGGTGGGGATTTCCTAAGGGCCAGAATGTCTTCCCCGTCCCTGAGGGCAGGCGCTTCAGGAGAGGTGATTGACTTCAACAATGGCACCTACCTTGTGCGCTTCACTCTGTTCTGGGAGGGCCAGGTGTCCCTGTCCCTGCTGCTCATCCACCCCAGTGAAGGAGTGTCAGCTCTCTGGCGGGCAAGGAATCAAGGCTACAACAGGGTGATCTTCACTGGCCACTTTGCCAATGGTACCTCCAAGATCTTCTCTGAATGTGGCTTGACCCTAAACACAAGTGCTAAACTGTGCCAGTACCTGGACGCTGGAAACCAAGACGCCTTCTACTGTGTGAAACCTCAACACATGCCCTGTGGAGCCCTGACCCACATGACCACCAGGAATCGAGATATTTCTTATCTTTCTGTGAAGGAAAAAAGTCTTTTCCACAGGTAAATGTACCTTTAGATACACGGAGAGGTGCTCATAGACAGGAAGTGATTACCCATTTCTATTAGTATTGAGCATCAGCTTCTTAGATGCCTCCCTCTAATCAGGGTTCAGGCCAGATGTGTAGTGTCTTCATAGTGCCCCCTGTTCATCATTCCCACTGCCAAGGTTTGTATTTTCACTGAGTTGTTTAATAAAAGAGGGTTAAACAAGGAGGGAATCTGTAACATGTATGCCTGTACTTCATAATCAATGGTATTCTCAGCTTCAGTCATTTCTTTTACTATAGACCTGTTGTTGTTGTTGTTGTTGTTATGTGCCGTTGAGTCCAACCCGACTCATAGTGACCCCTCCTTGGGTTTCTGAGGCAGTATCACTATAGAAGTAGATTACCCAAACTTCCTTTCGAGGAGTGGCTGGTGGGTTTGAACCGCCAGGCTTCTGGTTAGCAGTCAAGTGCCTTAGCCATTATGATACCAGAGCTCCTACTATAGACCTAGGTTTTATAAATTGTGTTCAATGAAAAATAATTCTGCTGTGTGTTAGCATAGATGTTACACCATAAAAAGATTCCTCAAGCAATGTATGGTAACATCCATGTCCCTTCACCTTCATATAGATTCACCTTCTGTAGATTATGCCTCGTAAATATTTTTTGCATTCATCCATTTGTCTCTGTGCCTAATGCTAGCATCCAAGTTCAGACCAACATCATCTCACCTAGATTACTTTTATGTTTCCACTGGTTTCATCTCACCAACTGTGCTCTTTTTAATCCATTCTCCACACAGCAGCCTGAGTATTCTTTCCAAAAAGACATTCCTACTGGTCACCTCTAACTGATCTCAGGAGAGATATTCCTCAGTAGCTACTGCTTATGTTGGAGTAGTCCTTCATATTTGCCAAGTTGTGACCTAGTGATTCCTGGAAGCCCCTGTGTCTTAGTTACCTAGTACTCCCATAACAGAAATACCACAGGTAGGTGATTTGAAAGAAAGAAACCTACTTTCTCACATTCCTGGAGGCTAAAATCCAAATGAGGGTCTTGTTCGTGTTGATTCCTTCCTTGTCAGTAGTCCTGGGCATTCCTTGGTTCCTTGGCTTGTAGATGATCCTTACATGTCATCTGTCTTTTCCCTAAATGTATGTTTACTGTGTCTATTCTGGTCATTTTATAAGTCATAAGTGTTAGTTTTAGGATTTACCCTACACTAGTATTATCTCAACTAATCAACTAATTACATTATATTGCATTGTATTGTGGATAGTGATTAGAGTATACTATGGAAAGTAATCTGCTCTACCTAAGGACTAATTTAATCATATGTAATATTACAGGTGGTTCAAACCCACCAGCCACTCCTCGGAAGGAAGATGGGGCAATCTACTTCCGTAGATACTGCCTCAGAAACCCAAGGAGGGGTCGCTATGAGTCGGGTCCGACTCGATGGCACATAACAACAACAACAACAGACTAAAATTTGGCCAAAACACTGGGAATCACAGCCTAGTCAACATGGTACACAAAATTAACCATCACATCCTGGCTGAAGAGGCCTTCACAAACTGGAGTGTTAGCATATGTCAATCATGGCAACATCAACAGCATGCCTTTCTCCTCTTGCTTACAAACGGACACTAATTTCTTGGTCTCCCTGTTCTTTGCTAAGCTGGAAAACACTTCATTGCTTTTCAGAATCTTACCTAGTTATCCAAGTTCTTGATCTATAGACATTGACTCTCTTCTGAAATCAGTAGAAGCACAATTGGGTTTCTGTTTCTTTCATCTCTGATTATGTAGCTCACCAAATCTCCCCTACCCACTACCTGTCCTTATACCTAAGTCTCAGTAAGGGTGAAAGATATGCTGATTCCATGCCTCTTCTTGGGATTCAACCTGAAGAGGCAACCAAAGCAAATGATCAGATACCACTTATATATCTGTTGTACCTGGCACCTGAGTTCCCATTCCTTGCTAGCCTCTTTCTTCTTGTCTGGACTATAAACACATATGAGGGTCTGAAACAAAGTGAGGGCCAAAGGGACAGTAAGGGCTTTGAAGCAGAAAGAATCAGGTAGTCTTTCATCATTAGGAGGAAATAATACAACGTATGTTTATTCATGAATCAGACTGAACACTACACTTGGCCAGGAATTTTGATAAATGTTAGGGATACAGGAGTGGACCAGACAAATGCATTACCTTCCTTCATAGGCTTACATAAACAAGTTTCTGGGGAAATTTGAAGATAAGTGTTGTAGGAAACATGGGTAAAGATGGTCCTGTGATTAAAAGGTTTTTATGCCATGCTAAGGAGCCCAGAATCTGCATCATAAGTGATGCAGAGACAATGAAGATTTTAAGTAGTAATGTAGCTGCATTCACAATTAGAAAGGATGCTCTATCAGTGTTGAAGAGTTTTGGTGGGATAAAACTGAAACAAGCTAGCCAAATAGAGGTGCACAATAATCTAAGAAATATATAATATGAACTTGAATAGTTAATGTGGCAACCAAAAGAAAGGAACTTGCAGATAAGATAAATATTTTGAATATAAAATCCTAGGACACATTAATTTTATACAGCAGATAAGCAGCACTGCCCTGAACTTCAGATGCTCTCAACAGGGCAGAAAGTCTTCCAAAATCCTAATTTATTTGTAATATCTAATATAACTAAAGAAGCTCTGGTAGCATAGTGCCTAAGGCACTTGACTG